AAAAAAAAAAAAAAAACTGATGAACGCCAAAATACAATTAACTGCCTTCAAAAAAATGTCTTCAGCTTCAACTCTTCGATTGTTTCGTTTATGATTCACGAGCACTTTCGCGATGATAAATGAGATGATAAATTACACACGAAAGGATGAATCAGAGACATTCATCACATGAACTTACCAGTTACAATAGCAATTTTTCCTGACAAATCAAGTCCGTGCAAGACTTGACTAGCAGTTGAACTAGAGTCGAATCGTTGCCTGAATTTTGTTCCTCCAGCTGAAGCATTCTTTTCCACTGCAAAAGCCAATCGCGGGTCCGTGAAAGTTTTCCTGTTGTTGACTGTATCCACGTACGTGATTTTTCCTTCATCATCCACTTCTTGTTTCCAGCCAAAGGGTAACGAACTTTTCGGAATGATCTTCTCTTTCCCTAAAATAAAAATAATAGTAACATACAGCAAATTTCAATAAAAGTACTGAACTCGAACACTTGACAAAAAAAAATTGAACTCGATTTTTTGCATATGCAATAACGCAACTAAACACCGCTTTTCCCAAGCTTCATTATCTTCTTATCCCATAGATGTCGCCGCAAAATTCGATGGGGAAACGTTTCAAGTGGGATACAAAAATTACAATTGCTACTACAGTACCTTAATTTTCAAGTTAGTCCATTGAGCTTGGTTAGGCTCATTTTTGGGGTGGTGGAATTACAATGTAATTTCAAAACCGGCTTATTGTTGTCCAGCCTCTCTAGGAATTATATTGTGGAAAAAATCTTCTCTTTTTGCATAAAGTTGTTCCAATTTCAGGAAAAAGAATATGTTGACAATTTTATTACAGTTTAGCAGAAAAAAGAAATTGCCAAAAGCAGTATTATTCCTGACGGTGATATTCCTGAGGACATTAAATCTCCACGAAATTCTTCCAGTGTGACGAGGTTAGGCCTGGCGACATTATTCCAGCCACCCTCATTTTCGTGAGAAATGCGATTCGTGCGTCACCTGCCTTGCGTAATTTCAACTCAAGCATGATCCGCTATGAATACGTGACACACATTTTTACAGTATCTGTCTCATAGAAGCAAGTTTGAGCGTTAAAAAAAGTATATCAAGTTTTTCTTTCCCATCAGAATCAATCACACTTTTCACCTCACATAATCTGAAAACTCACCAGTTTTTGGATGAACCCAGTGCGTGCTTTTCGACGAATGATCAGTATAATAAACACGACCGTCTAAAGTCGCGCGTTCTTCCCACCCGGGGGGCAATTCGTCTTCCGAATCCGTTTCCGGCAAGTTCATGATGCCCCCTTTGTGCGTCATATTTTTTCCCCCTCTCACACTGAAAATTGAAAAGAAAAAATCACTACATTCTTGAGCATGAATATCAATACAAAAAATAATAATAATCGCGGAACGCACGAAAGAAAAGTGCTTCATCCAGCCCCCAGAAGCACACTGCATTTTTTTTTGGACAAAAGCTTTTGACAAAAAATCGTAAAAATTGGGAAACGTGATGTGCACAGTGCTTCTCTCTCTCTCTCTTTCGTTTTTGCTGGGGATGGAAATTTTGCAGTTTATTCTTGCATCGCCTCGTCGTCTGGATGACAGCCATCGCCTCCGCCATTCGTTGGATGAAATTCACCTTCGTCACCGTCGCATTCTCCGCCATTTTGTTCGTTGTCATCCAGATAGCCAATTTCATCCTCTGCAACACGCAAGAAAT